TTTTTAGAGTTTTTGGTTACAATATTAACTACTTATGAGAATCATGGTTTTAAATACTCAATCCTTAGTTAAAAATATAAAGTATTTCGTAAATTTTTAACTAAGTACAAAATAATTTGAAAATATTTGTGATTTTTATGATTTTTTGTCAAAATTAAACTTTAAAAGCTAGCTAATATTAATCATGCTTGGGGTTGCTACTACTATTCAAATAACTTATTATAAACCTTTTATTAAATTTGAAATAAATTAATTTTTATAGATTTTTAGAGAAACCAATTTCAAATATCTATAAATAGCTCAATAAGAATAAAATTATTTTTAAAATGATATCATGTAAAATGGCATGTACAGAAAAACTAATATAAATTGTATTTGGTTAAAATTTCATGTATCTACAATCGTTATTATTGTTTTTGAATTACAACAAAATAAAAAAATCGTTCCATCATAAATCATTAATTTACGGGTGAATATCAGAATATCTAACTTTAAACGCTCATAAAAAATGAATTTGATTTTCCAGCAGGTATAGGTACTTATTTTTTCAAAAGGAAAAATAAGGTATGTGAAATCTTGTATTAAATGTTCAAATCTTAGATATAAAAAGCAACATTTTTATGAATTCTAACATTTTAATAAACAATCAATTTTTAACTTTAACTTTTAGTTTTTGAACACCCAAATGTTGTGGCACTGCTAATAGGTTTTTAGTTAAACGATGTGTTCTAGTTTTTATATACGTCATACGACTTTACAAAAATTGTTATTTCTAATGGTTTGTATTTATTAAAATGTTTACTTTTGGTCACAAGCTTGATTTCAATCAAAATATACAAAATCAATAATGACAAAATATTATGTACATAACATATAGAATGTTACATAATACAATATTTATACTTGACAATTGACAAACCAACTCATAACATATAATTTGTCTTGTTTATTTTGTCTATATATAATTTTGATCAATAAAAAAAAAGACCACAATATTTTATTATAATATAAGACTTATGACTTATGAGTAATGACTACCTATTTACTAATATAAGAACAATTATTAATTTATTAAGTAATTTAAATAAAACATTTAATGTAACGAGTTAATGTGTAATGTAGGTAATTTTATTACTTTTCAAAAGTAATTTACCCACTCTGGTGTTAATAAATATTTTATTATTATAGGACATAGGTAATAATCTATATTTCTATCATTAAATAGATCGACTTCATTTTGCTTTCATTATAGTTTACTAGTTTAGAATATAATATTGTTGTTAAATAAAGCCATTTCCATCGTATATAGTACCTACCTAAATTATACAGTCAACACCAATTTTTTTAATTTAAAACATAAGCAGGAAATAACATTCAAGTTATTTGAAATTTGTTTACCAAATTAATTTCTAAATAGTAAACAGATTATACTATTTAGTATTTTGAATATTCCATAATTATTTAGATTTTACTAATTATTTCCTCACAACGTTTTGCTGTTTGTATTTATTATTTTGTTTGTTCAAAAACGATTATCATCGTTGAACGTATACAGGAGTGATTCACTTAGCATGCTTCCACCATTTTCTCATTTCATTAATGATTTATTTATTCGAACTCCGATTTTTAAAATTTTTAAATATGTTCCTACTATATTAGGTACTTATAAGGACCATATTTTCAAGTTCTTTAGATTTTTATGAACTTACTACTGAAAGAGTGGTACAAACTGGTGATACAAAATTCTGTTTTTCAAATGAGAATCCTCCTTTTTTATTGTAATTATTTTAGTGGTTTTTTAATTTGAAAATATAATATGTACCTAATACAAAATTCGAACAAGTATAGTATTTCAGTTATTAAAATGTTTGTTATTGTTTTACAAAAATATAACTAATAAATCAAATCTAGTATGTATTTAATATTTATTATTCTTGGACCATTTTTAATATGTATAAATATTGTAAGATTAATATGAATTGCCGAAATTTACTAATCACCAAAGCTCCCAAATCTTCTCCCAACTCGTTATCAGCTTTTATCAAACTATATTATCGTTAGTTCACTAAGTTAAATAATTCAAAAACTTTTCTTCCGAAGTTCCAAATTTTGTTTTCGATACGTCAACATTTGATATACACTAAATAATTTAAGGTAAAATAGGAGCTGTCATTCTAATACAGAAGTTTGTATCTCAACAGCCAATAATGTTAAGTAATATAAAAATCTCAAGAATTTTGAAAAATGGTGTTTAATTATATTAAAAACATTCCAAAAATCAAATTTCGAATAACTGCATAATTGAAGAAGAAAAATGGGGCTTAAAATGATTATAAGCACATATTTATATGAATTCACAAGTTATTGTGTTATATTTGTTTTTAATAATTTAATATTAATTATATAGGTAATCAATCTGTTCACTGTCCAGTCACACTACAGTAGGTACGTATCCGTACCTAATATAATGTTAGATATAAGAAATATATATTTTTTAGATTCTGAGTGGAGCGATTAATGGGTTGATTTTAAAATGATCTGTATTTCTTTTAATTTTTAATTTTATGTGTCTGTTATCACCTTTTAGGTCAGTAAAAACAGTAGCGTTATTTGGTGGGTGGCGAGGTGGACATTTTGCTCCCCCTTGTCATTAGCAGGTCGCTGTCGGGCCGGGTATAGGCTAGTTTTGGGTCTTAATTTAATAGGTAATATATATAGGTATCCTTTTACATAATATATTTTAAGTATTTAGTCATTGTTATCTCTCAAAATAATAGGATATTAACAACTAAGTGTAAAATTATGTAAGATGCTATTTGTATTGAGATAAAAATGCAATTGTAATGTAACGTATTGTAATGCAATTCATTGTTGGCGAGTGGTTTTTTTCAGTTTTATTATGGGTTAGTCAAACATTCCCCCTTCCCCCACCGAAAAAAAACACTGAAATTACGCCACTGAGTAAAAATGTACCTATTGATTTTGTACTTCGGCATATTTTTTGGTATTAAAATGAATCTAGTTGGCACTTTAAGGGGTGAGAAGTAAAAAGTTCCCTGTAGTTATCAAAAGCGGATACAAGAAATCAGTTTGATTAGTTTGACAAAATCAATTTTGTTGTTTTGGTGCAACTCTGTAAAATTTGTAAAGACGTTGAAATATCATAAGTAAACAATTAAATGTACCAAACATTCACAATATGGTAGTTAACAATAGAAATAGGGGTAAGTAAAAGTGTACCTAGGTATAGACCATAATATAGGTAATATACAAAAGGGGATAAATGGGTGCTCTGCTGTATACAGTAGGTTTCAAGTGGGTAATTGTAATGGATGGTGTTAAATTTGAATTCGATGATTTATACGTAATGATATGGTAATATCATTGTGTAAGAAAAACGATTCTGAGCGAATTTCTGTCAGCTTATAATATTAATAAGTATATTTAATTATATTAAAGTGCGAGTAAGTGGCTGTCACTCTGGCACTCTGTTGTAAAGTAGATTACAAGTGGGTCAATGTATATTATAATGAATTGTATTAAATTTGGATTCAATGATATAATATCATTTTATAAGAAAAACGATTCTGAGCGGAGATGGTTTGTCAGTCTGTATAGTTTATATTGTTATTATTTATTGTAGCATGTAAGTTGAATTAATATTTTAATATTATTTTTTTTATTCGTTTCCATGTTGATAAACAAAGTGTTAGAAATGAAAATCCAGTTTTTTCGTAATTTGTTGGTAGTTTTTCTCGTGGCATAAAATAACTATTGAGAAAATCGAAAAATTACCTTTTTAAAGTACCATCTTGATCCAATTTACTAAAAGATAAGATACTATATGTCAAAATCGAAATCGAAGCCCTCCTTCTGGTAGAAATTTTGTATACATTATAAAAAAAAATAAACTCCATTGTAAAACCACTAGCTTCCTCGCTCCGCTCAGAATCCAAAATAGTCACCTCTATATAAAGGCTATAATTTTAAATTATAAATACTCTAATGGTATAATAGTATAATACAATAAAATACTATAATACTATAATACAAAATGTCCGAAGGCCGAAGCAGGGAAGAATATATCCACTAATGGAATAGGGGAAATCTCCTTATGTCATCCCTATGTGCCCCTCTACTCCGATTTTATATATATACTAATATTATAAGCCTGAATAATTTGTTTGATTGAATGCGCTAATCTCAGAAACTACTTGTTTGAATTGAAATATTATTTTTGTGTTCGATAATCCATTTATCGAGGGAGGCTATGGCTATATAACCATCACGCCATGACCGATAGGAGCACGGAGAGGTGCTCAAAATTTTAAGATTTACAATGGGAATGTTTTTTTTTATAAATGGTTACTATTGGTATTTGCAGGTTTAGGGGAAAAAATGAATAGAAATAGTATTTATTTATTATTGGTTGCCATTAGTTAATCGGGTAGATGTAGATCAGGTACAAGCATGCATCAAATCGAATTTCTACACATTGCCTACCAAGGTGCAGCCTGCGTTGCACTTATAGACACTCATCGCCGTTGCCCGTAGTCGGATTACATACCAGGGTGGCTGAGGTGTTCTTAATGCAGCGGCCAGCGAGTTACACCCAAAAAGAGTTGAATAATTACAAGAGTTGTAATTTTTTACGGGCCATGAACTGTGCAGGTTCAGCTAGTATTATATTAAAGACTAAAGTATATATTCTTGGTAAATCGCCATAAATATGTGTTTAATATATTGCACAGTTGTACCTACTTTAAATACGTGTATAAAGTTGTAACTATAATTATCTAACTACTTGTTAAAAAAACGCTATTTTTAAGCATCAAAATACTCCGAAAAATATTCTGAGGATATCGTGAGCAAGGCAAAATTAATACCTTCAATTTTATTAATATGTGGCTTACAATTTTAGAATATTGTGCACATAAATAAAATATTAATATAATCACAGATAGATTTACCTGTTTTTAGTGTATAATGT